AAATACATTGGTTTTAAGGAAAGAGAGTGTTATTTCATGATGGGGTAAAGACATAGAATTTAGCTCTTACCCATGGTTCCTCATAACTTCCTTGCCCAAGTAAGGCTATAGAAACTAGGGATTTCTCTTTCCTGATTCAGGTCATAAAAGCCCTAATACTTCCTGTCTTTCAACACTGGAAGATGGCTATTACGTTCTCTGAACTCCTGAACTATCCTTCCCTGGCAGTAGGTCATGAGAACTCTTATTCTATGGGGTCATGTCAGTATCATAGAATGCTGCAGAGGCCAAGAAGAATGCTGACAGGTCTGGCTGATTTCCCCACCCACTTTAATATTAGATATACAATAAAGTCTCCATAAAAACCAGAAGAACAAGATTTAAGAGTTTCTAGATAGCTAGACATGCAGATTCCTAGAGGGTGGGGCACCAGGAAAGGGGCATGGAGCTTGAGGCTTTTCTCCTAAACCTTGACTTATGTATCTCTCCATCTACCAGTGGTTCGCAACCTGTGGTCTGACTCCTTGGGGTAGGTGTTGAAGGATTCTTTCACAGGGTCATCTAAGAACAATTAGAAAACACAGATATTTATATTATAATTCACAACAGTAGAAAAATTGCAGTTGTGAAGTAGCAATGAAAATAATTTTATGGTTGGAGGTTAGCACAACATGAGGGTCGCAGCCTTAGGAAGATTTAGAATCAATGACTTATATCCTTTCAAATGTCATTTACATTTGAAAGCCAGTAAATGTGTTTTCTTCAATCCACCACTCAAACAAAGGAATTGTGGAAATCCTTTTTCCCCCCTTTAGACAGAGTTTCTCTACAAAGCACAGGCTATCCTGGAACTTACTATGTACACCATGCTGGGTACTCAGAGATCCACTTGCCTCTGTGCTGGATTAAAGGTATGTACCACCATATCCAGCTGGACCTCAATTTTTTTTTAAAAAAGATTTATTTATTTATTAGGTTAACAGCATTCTCCCTGCATGTATACCTGTATGTCAAGAGAGGGCACCAGATCTCATTATAGAGGGTTGTGAGCCATCATGTGGTTGCTTGGAATTGAACTCAGGACCTCTGGAAGAGCAGCCAGTGCTCTTAACCTCTGAGCTATCTCTCCAGCTCCTGGAACTCAATTTTTAACAGGTCAGAATAACTGGTTAAATCATCTAGGACCACGTATTGTGGTAAATGTTAATAGTAACAGCTCTTAGGAGCTGAGGAGGAATGATTTGGGGTTATAAGTGAGCCTTGACTGCACAAACTTTGTCTCTGAAAGAGAGGGAGGGTCATAAGGAAAGGGGGGAGGAGAGAAGTCCAACCTCCCCTACCCCCCCCCCAAAAAAAATCTAGGGCTTCTGACTGGTATCTAAAGGGTGACAGTAGGGTCCTGAAGAGTGAATACTCACTCAACTGTGGGGTCTGGCATTGTCTCAGATGGGCAGTGTTAAAGCTGAATTAAATTACAGGAAACCAGTCTAGGCAAGTGCCTAACTGGTGCAGGGAAAAACCCTACACATCTGATCAGAAGTCTTCTGTGTTGGTTGTGGTGTGAAATAACCAGAGAGAAAACACGATTTATTTTCTAGACACACATCTCTACCCAGAGCTAAAGTTCAATTCCTACTGCTACCAAAACAAACAACAAAAAAACACTACACAAAAGGAACTCTACCCAGATTATAGTGTCTTCTAGGAAATAACTCAATGTCTTGAAAGAAAATACATTCACATTCAAGTGCTTACATAGAACTCTTTTCTAAATGGAACAAAAAGAGCTGTTAACATCTACACCCTTAGCTAATAGAGAGGTCATTTTAACCATGCAAGAATGGAGTGAACATGAATCTAAACAGTAGGTCTGGAAAACACGCAGATCTGAAGGTCAATCTGCACAGCAAACTATTGTCACTGGATAAACCTAACAGCCAAAGGAGAGGAGAGAAGACATAATGTAAAGTGATCTCAATTAATTATGGATTTAGACATACATTTCTGAACTTAACAGAAACCAAGCTCAAGAACTATGGTCTTTCTGGGAGGTAGTGGTACATGCCTTTAATCATAGCATTCAGGAGGCAGAGGCAGGCATATCTCTTGAGTTCAAGGCCAGCCTGGAATACAGAGTGAGTTCTGGGATAGCCAGGGCTACACAGGAAACCCTGTATGTATAATTCAGCTATCATTTGGCTTAAAATGGCTTATTGGGGAATGTTATCATTTATACTATTTTCTACAGAGAAAATATTTTACTGTTTAAAATAAAAAAATAAATTAAAAAAAAATCCAATCCCCCACCCACCAAAACACACACACACACACACACACACACACCCAAACCCAAACCCAAACCAACAACAACAAACCAAAAACCAAAAACCTGTGGTCTGAAAAGGCAATTGTTTAGTGTGACAAATTTAGGGAGGGAACATACAATCCAGTGGGCAGAGTAAATTGATACGGTTAATGCTTCTGCAAAGTCATCTCAAACCACAAATGCTAAAGAAGCAAACTAAAGTCAAAGAGAAGAAATTCAGCCAATAAAAAGTGAAACTGGGGGCTGGAGAGATGGCTCAGCAGTTAAGAGCACATACTGCTCTTTCAGAGGACCCATATAAGGCAACTCACAACTAACTGTAACTCCAACTCTGGGCAACACCTCTGGCCTCTGTGGGAACCTGCACTCACATACATATACCCAAACAATACATATAATTTAGCGATGATGATAATTATAATAACAATAATAATAAATCTCAAGAAGCTGGGCAGTGGTGGCATATACCTTTAATCCCAGCGCTCAGGAGATAGAGGCAGATGGAACTCTGTGAGTTCAAGGCTAGCCTGGGCTACATAGAGTTCCAGGACAGCTAAGGCTACACAGAGAAACCCTGTCATGAAAATACCAATCAATCAATAAAGACAATAATAAATCTTAAGGGGCTGGAGAGATGACTCCATGATTAAGAGCACTGTTGCAGAGGACATGGGTTCAATTTTTACCACCCAAATGGTGACTCACAACACCTGAGTTCCAGAGGATTCAACACTTTCTTCTTCTTTCCACTGGCAATGGGCATGGGCACGCACGTGGGCACGCATGCGCACATGCAAACACACACACACACACACACACAAAAAAAAAACATAAACAAAGGCAACAAAACAAAACAAACCCCATGCACATAAAATAAATAAATCTTTATATAAAAGGTATTTGCCAGACATGGTGGCACGCATGCCTTTAGTCTCAGCACTCAGGAGGCAGAGGCAGGCAATCTCTGAGTTCAAGGCCATCGTGGTCTACAAGTGAGTACCAGGACAGTGAGGACTATAGAGAAACCCTGTCTTGAAAAACCAAACCAAACTAACAAAAACAAAAAGGTATTTCTTAAATCTTTAAAAAAGAAAAGGCTATAGCCAGAAGTTTTCCTGTGTCCAGCCTGGTCCACAGCCTCTCAGACCCAAGTAAACACACAGAGGCTTATATTAATTATAACTGCTTACCCATTAACTCAGGCTTACTACAGACTAGCTCTTACACTTAAACTCAGTCCATTTCTGTTAATCTGCATGTCGCCATGTGTTCCATGGCTTTACCTGTGTGCCACTACAGGCTGCTCCCTGGATGGTGGGCTGGCGTCTCCTCACTCAGCCTTTCTCTCCCCAGAATTCTCCGTCTGCTTATCCTACCTATACGTCCTGCCTGGCTGCTGGCCAATCAGCGTTTTATTAAACCAGTATACAAAAGCATTATCCCACAGCAAAAGGCCTTTACTGGGTGGGTCAGGTGTGATGCTGCATGCCTTTGATTCTAGCAGAATTCAAGGCCAGCCTGGTTTTCACAGGCAATTCCAGGCTAGTCAGGGGTGTACATAGTGAGACCCTGCTACTAATACAATGAAAGGAAATCAGCCAAATTTCAAGGAGGGAAATTATCCCGGTGAACATGTATATGCATCAAACTAGATTTCTATATGGCAATCAAGCAGTTTATACTTAATACTGACCCATAATGGGGCAAAACAAATGTGTATGCACGTGTTTGTATCTATGTACAGATACCTTATTGCATCCAAAAAAGAAAAAGCAACTTACTAAAAACTAATAGCGCTATCTATAATACAGTTGGAACACACACATTTATTGGCCAAGCCTGAGTGCATTTCTTTGTTTGAATTCTTTCTATTATTAAGCAAATACCTCTCCTCATATTTTAAGATTGGAGACTCAGTCTTATAGCTATCTAAGAGATTCTGAAATGTAAAATATTAAAGCTAGAAACTAAAAAACAAATTTTCAATGATTTCTACTCTGTTTTTAAGCACCAAGGTACAAATGAAGAGCCATGGTTTTAAAACAATCGCATATCAGATCTAGTACGAGAAAAGAGAGGTGTATCAACCTTCCAAAATGGCAACCCAAGGATCACAAAGCAAGGGCTTATCTGGAGAAAACAGTGCCTTCCTCAAGCACTCTGGACAAAGTTCTCACATGTTAGTTTGATGACAAGTTACTATGCCTCAAGACTCTAAGTAGATAACTATAGAGTGGGAAACCTTCCTTTTTTTTTTTTTTCTTTCTGAGTCTCATTCTTCATTAGTTAGAAATCTCCATCTTTCTGAAATCTTTTTTTTTGTTTGTTTTTTCGAGACAGGGTTTCTCTGTGAAACAGTCCTAGCTGTCCCAGAACTCACTCTGGAGACCAGGCTGGCCTCGAATTCACAGAGATCCACCTGTCTCTGTCTCCCAAGTGCTATGATGAAAAGCATGCGCCACCACCACCCGGCATCTTTCTGAATTCTAATAGAAATTGAAAAAAAATTTCCCATAGCCAGCTGTGGTGCTGTACACCTTGAATCCCAGCAGCGGAGGCAGGTGGATCTCAGAGAGGCACATGGATTTCAGAGTTCTACATACTGAGTTCCAAGCCATACTGTGAGATCCCGTTTCAAAACAAAACAGTGAGATATAGTTTTATTAATTGTTTTTGTCTTTATACGTAATTTATAATTATATAAACATTGATTATTATTAGCCTTTTAAACACTAATGCCTATTCTCTGATACATGTGCTCAACAAACCCAAACTGCTTAGCCAAATCATTTAGGAAGGTCTATAGGCCTCTGGAGAAATCTATTCTGATAACCTCAGCAGCTGTACTGTTTATCTGAGAATCACTAAGAAAGAACCTGATTTCCTTGTACTGTTTCAGTGGGGAGTAACAGAAAGAAGTCTAGTTAAACATCCTTCTTGTATCACAACCAAGACAGATGAGAATGCCAAGAAAAGTAAAGCAATTGAGTCATTCCCTTAATGAGAGGTTGGTCAACAGGTTCTACTCTGTCTTAAATCACAATATCCACAAAATTATTTCACACTCTACCTCTGATATAGTTGACTTGCAAACCTCTCTGGCCACAGATTCAAATTTGGGATCAGTAGTGAGGTTCAGCTTGTAATTCCACAACAACTGGGTTCAAGAGAAGAAAACAAGACAAAAATGCTCTGGTTAGAACACCATGAAATTTGTCATCAGTGATTATTATAAATGACAAAAACTAATTATACAGTCATAAAGCATATTTACATTTCCAGTAATACACAAAAGTCAATTACATTCACAGATAAAAAGCACAAAATATATACAAACATAATTAAAGCAGCACCCACCATTCAGTGGTTAAGACTATGTACTGCTCATGCAGAAGACTAGAGTTCAGTTTCCAGAACCCATGTTCTGAGGCTCCCAACTCCAGCTCCAGGGATCTGACATGCTTTTCTGACCTCCATGGACACTGCACCCATATGCACAAACCCACACACAGACATACTTAAAAGTAAAACTTAAAAAAATTCTAAAATATGTGGTATCAAGAAAAAAACTAGCTGAGTGGTGGTGGCTACACCTTTAGTTCCCAGCACTCGGGAGGAGGCAGAAGCAGGCAGATCTCCATGAGTTCGGGGCCAGCCTGGGCTACAGAGTGAGTTCCAGCAAAGTGAGGGCTACATTTCAAAAAACCAGAAACAACAAAACACCAAACCATAACTAAACAAAAAATAAAGAAATAAAAAACTTAAATATTAAAGTCCCTGATGAAGTTTTAGAGAAACTATCTGTTTCTAAAAAGTCTGTCCCAAATGCTCAGATGTGGTGGAGTTTGTCTGAGGAGTCACAGAACAGTGCTTTCTACAGATCAACCTTGAGAAGTGCTCAGACTCTTGTTTCCAGGAATATCTGTTTTTATTCCCTGAAAACACTGATTGACCCTTCGTTATATGGTTTACTTTAGAGTTGTTTGGCTTTGCTTTTTAATTGATTTAATGTGTATGGGAGTTGCTGAGTTTAACTACCACCCTGGTATACCTGTCTCCTTTAAAGGTGCTACTTACTACAGAGTAGATATCCTCCCTTTTTATTTTTTTTGAGATAGGGTTTCTCTGTGCAGCCTTGGCTATTCTGGAACTCACTAAGTAAACCAGGCTGGCCTCTACCTCATAGAGATCCACCTGCCTCTGTTTCCTAGGATCAAAGGCATGCACTACCACGTTTGGCTCACAATAGGTATTTTAATGAAAAAGCTGTCGACTTGATAAGCAGAACATTAACTCTTTTTTTTTTTTTAAGATTTATTTATTTATTATGCATACAATGTTCTGCCTGCAGGCTAGATCTCACTACAGATGGTTGTGAGCCACCCTGTGGTTGCTGGGAATTGAACTCAGAACCTCCAGAAGAGCAGTCAGTGCTCTTAACCTCTGAGCCATCTCTCCAGCCCCATTAATTCTTTTTATATGGTAATTGTAATAAGAAAGACCATGAGTATACAATTATTATTGGCCACACCTTATGGTTTCTACAACAAAACAGTATTTATAAAGTCCGTAAACAAGGCTTATCATCCTTTTAAAACTAATAGAATCAGAGAAAATATAAAGCTTCCAGAAAAAGATGAAAAGGCATCCCAAAATCTGTCATATTTATAAAGCACATATGGTAAGTTAATGAAAATTCATACTTACATGATTGCAGTCTGAAGAAATTTCATTCTCAGGCTAGAAGGAAAAAAAAAGAAGTTGTTTTTCAAAAAAACAAACAAACACTAAAAACCCAACCCCTCAAGTTTTCAAACATCACAAAAATAAAGTTAAAATCAGAATCTGAATATTTAATAAAACATGTCTCTTCAGCACAAGGAGTACACTGGAGCTGACACTCCTTCCAGATTCCTAAGAAGAAAAGTACCAGAAAGGTACATGAGAAACAATCCCTTCTCTATCAATAGTACAATGTGGAAATGGGAAAGCGTACTAACACAGTAATGCAACAGCAACATAAGAACTCTTTTTTATATGGCATTTTCTAAGTTTGGATGCTAAAGAGGAGTGGCTGGAGAGATGGCTTAGTAGTTTAGAGTACTGGCTGCTCCTCTCAGGGACCTGGGTTCAATTTCCAGCACCCACATGGTGGCCCACAACCACCGTGACTGCAGTTCTAGGGGATCCAAGGCCCTTTTCTGGATTCCATGAGTACTACACACATGTGGTGCACAGACACACATGCAAATCACACAATACATGTAAAAGTAAAAACAAATTAAAAAAGAAAACTAGAGGATCTATATGAGCTGGGTGCAATATGAAAAGGCAAAGGCAGGTGGATCAATGTGAATTCCAGGCTAGCCTGGTCATCACACAAAGAACCGGTCTCAAACATAACATCACAGGGAGGATCAATATGGGGGTTTTTTCATTAATAAAAACAGACATTTAAAAACCAGGATTACTGAGCTGGGTATGATGGCTCACTCCTGTATTTCTAGCACTCGGGAGGCTAAGATAAGAAGATGGCTAAAATTGTGAGGCCAGGCTGAACTACAAAGTTAGACTCTACTTCAGAACTCTCTCCTCCAAAACCAAAGCAATCAAACAAAAATGCCCTAGGCTTATCAGAATACAGAGGAGGTCCAATAAAGATTTAAAAACTAGGACATTTTGAAAACAGGGCAGGAGGACTGTGAGTCTGAGGTCACTCTTATATAGCAAGACCCTGTCTCAAAAAATAAAAGTAGCTGAATACAGCAACTTGGGCTTATAATCCCTGTACTTGGGAGGCTGAGACAGGAGGACTGATGTTAGTTTGAAGCTAACCTAAGATAGATTGTGAGTTTAAGGTCAGACTGGGTTTAGTCTGAGAGACCCGGCCTCACATAAGCAACAAACAAACAAATAAATTTGAAAAGAAATTAAGGATTCTGGGGAGAGCCCTAGTTCCCAGCCTCTATGTTGGGTGTCTAGCTCCTGCTCCAGAGGATCTGAGGTCCTCTTTCAACCTCCACAAGTACCTGCATTCATGCTCCCCCATATATATATGGTTTTAATGAAATTAAAATTCTAAAAAATCCAAAAACATAACAAAAATTATGGCTTTTTTTGCGGCAGCAGCGCACACCTTTAATCTCAGCACTCTGGAGGCAGAGGCAGGTTGACCTCTGTGAGTTCGAGGCCAGCCTGGTTTTTTTAGTTTTAGGGTTTTCTGTTTGTTGGTTGTCGTTTTTTTTTTTTTTTTTTTTTTGTTTTTGTTTTTGTTTTTTTCGAGACAGGGTTTCTCTGTGTAGCTTTGCGCCTTTCCTGGAGCTCACTTGGTAGCCCAGGCTGGCCTCGAATTCACAGAGATCCGCCTGGCTCTGCCTCCCGAGTGCTGGGATTAAAGGCGTGCGCCACCAACGCCCGGCCGTTGTTTGTTTTTTAACTGAAGGAGAACAAGCAATGGTGAGGTTAGGAAGCCTGGAGTCACAAAAGTGATAAGGGCTGCAATTTGCACGTACATGTTTTGGGTCTGATGTCCAGGGGCTTAGCTTAACCACTATGTGTGCTTGGGGTGGGGGATGTAAAACTCTGTGACAGTCCTGAGAGAGCGAGAACTCATTAACAGCTGAGCCACTAATGGAAGATCAGTTTATCTGCTGTCAATGTCTCCAGAGGCCACATTTCTAATTAGAGTGGAGTAAAATTTGCTGTTAGACAGTACAGTGCCGTGGGATATCTTTCTGTACGCTCTGAATATGTGTTGCTCTGACTGGTTGATAAATAAAGCTGTTTGGTCAATGCTGAGGCAGAATAAGGTTAGGTGGTACAATGAACACAGAGAGAAGAAGAAAGGAAGGTGGGAGAGACGCGAGCCCCACCACAGAAGGACCAACGAGTGTGGTGATATTTTATTTGTACTGAAATGTTATTTTAATTTTATGTTAATAAATAAAGTTGCCCTGGGGTCAGAGCTATTAGAGCCATAGTGAGAGCGTGGTGGTTAGAAGAGCTAGGTAGATTTCTGTGTGTTCAGGGATACAGCCAGTATTGGAGACATACGCCTTTAAGACCTGGAGGGCGGTACTTACAGGCAGTGATGAGGCAGTCATGTGGTTGGGTTTACAACCAATGAGAAGGCAGAACAGAAAGATTATTTAAACAGGGACACAGGAAGTACCTCCCTCTCTCGGGGAAGCTAGGAGCACTGCAGGAGGTAAGATTTTATCTCTGAGCTCTGACCTCTCGGCTTTTCTCTTTTACCTTGGCTCTGTGTTTCTTATTTTAATAATACGATTGGTTACATCTACAAACGAGATGTCAGCAGACTGGTAATGCTACGGTCACGTGGCAACATACAGATTTATGGAAATGGGTTAGTTTAAGACGGAACAGCTACCTAGCAAGAAGCTGAAGCCATGGGCCATACAGTTTGTAATTGATATAAGCCTCTGGTAATTATTTTGTAAGTGACTGCGGGACCGTAGGTGAGAGATTCGTCCCCACCGCAGGGCCAGGGGGGACAGAGAAATTTCCGTCTACAGTACAGCTGAAAGTGATGCAAAAGTAAACAACAAGATGGAGCAGTTGATCCAAAAGTGTAGCAACGGCTAGTTATTGTTGCGAGGAAGATGGAAACCACACAGGGAAAGTTCTTTGGGAAATGAAATAACTTTTACATAAATGTAAACAATAAACATTAGTTTAAAAGAAAACCAAATGTAGTGTCATTTTTAGGGGATGCTAGATGATGGGTACACCAGATTTCAAATGGGTGCACTATTTTTAAATTTCTTTAAAAAAAGTTTTATTGCTGGGCAGTGGTGGCGCACACCTTTAATCCCAGCACTCAGGAGGCAGAGCCAGGTGGATCTCTGAGTTCAAGGCCAGCCTGGTCTACAGAGTGAGATCCAGGACAGGCACCAAAACTACACGGAGAAACCCTGTCTCAAAAACAACAACAACAAAAAAAAAGGGCCGCTGAAGGTGAGCCGGGCGCTATGGTGTTGTGCGCGCCCCCGGCCTACCTGACCCACCAGCGGAAGGTGCTGCGGCTATATAAGGGCGCACTGCGCCACCTCGAGTCGTTGTGTGTCCACAGGGACAAATTCCGGTACTTTGCTTGTTTGTTGAGGGCCCAGTTTGAAAAACATGAGAATGAGAAGGATATGATGACGGCCACACAGCTGCTGAGGGATGCAGAAGAATAATTCTGGCAAAATCAGCATCCTCAGCCATATATTTTCCCAGACTCTCCTGGGGGTACCTCCTATGAGAGATATGAATGCTACAAGGTTCCAGAATGGTGCTTAGATTAGTGGCATCCTTCTGAGAAGGCAGTGTATCCTGATTACTTTTCCAAGAGAGAGCAGTGGAAGAACCTGAGAATGGAAAGCTGGGATCGGGAGGTTAAGCAGCTGCAGGAGACACCACCTAGTGGTACTTTGACTGAAGCTTTGCTTCCCGCCAGAAAGGAAGGTGACTTGCTCCCACTGTGGTGGTATATTGTGACCAGACTTTGGGAATGGCCTATGTAGACACAGGACCTCACTGTTCATGCTTGCAAGTGAAAGAAGTTACAGAACATGTTCACACTTGCCCTAATAAAAGTAACTAAACACGAAGGAACAAACAAACAAACAGTTTCATTTATTTGATGTGTTTATCTGTTTGTATGTGTACCATATGCATCCCTATGCCCACGGAGGCCACAAGAACTGCAGTTACTGGTGCTTGTGTACTGCCGGATGTGGATGCTGGAAACTGAATTCTGGTGTTCTACAGCCCCTATTTTTCAAATTTCTTCTATGTCTATAGTGGAAAAACCAGAATGTTGGGCTGGCAAGATGGCTCAGCAGGACGAAATCTCTAGTGCCTGGGAGAAATGTCAGTTTCCCCCCACCTTTTAACACTTTTACGAAAAGCTTTTAATCTTCCCAACCTGGTAAACTTGTTTACAGAAAGCACTCTGACCTCATCCTTCTTTTAAAACCAGTCAATTGAGCTGCTTTTAATTCCAGCACTCGGGAGACAAGGCGGGAAGATCTCTGTGAGTTTTGAGGCCAGCCTGGTCTATATAGCTTGTCCCAGGACAGCCAGGGCTACACACAGAGAAACTCTATAGCGGAGGGGGGGGGGGGGACAGAGAGAGAGAGAAAGAAAGACTGTGAGGTTGGACCTCAACTAGTAGGGAAGACATAGTCACCACCTGAGTTAGAATAAAAGCTAAGTGAATTTCCTGCCACTGCGTGCTTGCTAGCCTGGTTTGGATAGTGGTACACCCTTTTTGCATAAAGCAATTGGCTTGTTGAGATACTTCACTTTGTTCCCATGCTCCTTACACTAAGATTATTCTTTCTTTGTTTCTAACACACAGAAGCCAGACATCATAAATTAACTTATACTTATTTATAAAATATATTTAAAATGGACTTAATTAGGCTGATGGGTAATGATTAGATTACAACACACTACTGTCAAATTTTTTACCTTCCAAAATTTCAATAAGAACAAATAGTTTAATGCCTTTGGGTCCCTGAAATCAGCCTCCACACTATGAGTTAATCTAGTTTAACTTAATCTTTCCATTCAAATACATTTCTACTAAACAATTTTTGATTAAGAGTATTTGTGGGGCTGGTAAGACTGTTCAGAGGGAAAGGTATCAAGTCTACAACCTGAATTTGATACCAGGACATATATGGTGGAGAACAGACTCCTCACTGGATGTCCTCTGACATCTACAGGAC